CATCAGGAAGGAAGGCTTCAAGAAGGAGCCCCAAATTAGGAAATGCATATATTAGAAAAAAGTTTTTGTGTAATGTTTTCTTGTGGTCAGTTTCTTCAAAGACAAGCCTGTGGGTTCCTCCTTACTTACACAAAGCTGGTCATGAAGTAGCAGCAGATCCCAGTACGCACTGCAACTGTCATGAAATCAGTTCATCTGAAATTCTGTAATGGATGGAGAAATCCTTGCACTTCTTTTTTTTTTTAATGGGAAGAATAATCTCTGTGTCATGTGCATCGGAGTCCCAGCTCATTCAAGGATGTATCCCAAATGTAGGTGTTCTGTAAAAGTAAAATGTCTTTTCTCTGTCTTTATTCTTCTTGTATCACAGTGCTTGGAGTAGAAATAAATCCTATTTTCCTGCCACTGAAGGAACAACAATGGAATGAAATTCTGTCTGTAGAACTTATTTCTTCACCTGTGTTACTCTCAGCTGACTGTTTAGTAAACTAAGCAGCAAGCTTGGCCTAGAGGTGCTGCTCCTAATTCTCACATTCCCTGCTTTTCTCATGCTTGTGAGCATACTTATGTGTTATGGTGTCAAGTTGTATAGCTTGGGAAGGTCCTAAACTAGTTACACAGCTAGGAAAACAGAACTTCTTTAAGGTGCTTTAGACAGAAGTGGTAACTGAACACCAGTCTCTTACTTAGCAAAATACCAGCTTTGGCCAAACAAGCTTTTCAGAAGAACGTGTCACACAATACATGACTGCAATTTATGTGTTTTGCCTGGTAGCAGCAAGAGTCTTCTTAAATGTCAGTGAACTTACTTACTTTGATGCCATGAGAGCTGGTCCTTCAGCTAAAATACATTTTTTTGTATTTGACCGTACAAGTTCTGGGTTCAGCCTTTGCAGACAGCTCCACAGGGCTTACAAATTTCACAAGGTTATCTGTAACCCCTATTCCCTCCTCCTCCCAGACGGTCCTGTTACTGAGATGGAAGAAGAGAACTGAAATGGCCCACTGGTGCTATTACCTTAAGTACTTGGGTCTCTCAGCTTGTGTTTGGGCTGTTGAAACGTGGGATGAAAGCTTTGTGCCAGGGTAGTGTATGCCATACAATGTTGGCTAATGGGATTCCTTGAAATCCCTTCACATTTCAAATAGATTTATGAATAAGGGGGGGCAGTTTGAACACATTGCAAACCCCTAAAGCCTTAGTGAATTCTGAATTTGGCCATCTCAACTATTTATAGAACACTCTATGCCTATTCTAAATATATTTTCCTCAAGGGGACCTCATCTCAACCCCCTGCTCCACAGCTTAAATTGGATCAGCAATGCTGCTATGATCTGTTAGCAAAAACTCCTTCTCTAGCTCTGTGGCAAAGGGATATTGATGGGATATCCCTCTGTGGCAGAGGGATATTGATGATATATTGGATCATTTCCTGTAGCCATTGCCTGATTATATTTTATATTCCTCCTCTGCTGATAGGTCTAGAGTTCTGGAGGGGAAAAACAAGTGCCTTATTGGCAATGTATGGCACCTTTCCCTTTCAGGAGTCTTCAGCCTTGTAAACTAGGCTTAATGATGAGCACAGAAAACATTTTCTTTCTAGAGGAAGCGTAAAGGTGTTCTATGGGCAGAAAGCATTTCCTATTGGAAAGATGCTTGAAATTGGTGTTCTCTTTTTCCTTCTCTGCTATAGGGAAGAGAAGTGTCTCTTCTGTGGGAGCACCTGCATGACTGCTTAGGCAGCTGTGCCCCTGGCCCTATGGGTTGGTTCTTCCTGAAACCTTTTCCACGCAGAAGCCTCCTCTTTGCCAGCTGGCATTCTGAACAGTAGAGCAGGCTGTGCAGGCTTTGTCCAGTGAAGCTTTGCTTTCTGTTAGCGAAGGCAGGAGTGCTGTAAGATGGTGTAGAACGAACACTGCAGGAATGGCTCCTGCTCTCCTCTGGCTTTGGAGGTTGACCATATGTGTTCACTGCTATTTTCCAGGCAGATGAGCATGGGGCATTTAGAAAGCAGGGCTTGAGTCCCACTTGCTGTTGATTGAATGGGGTCAAAATGTCAACTCTATTGCTCCCACGTAAGGACAGAAGATCTCTTCAGGCAAGGAGAGCACCTCATCCCACGGTAGATTGTGTAGCGGAGAATCTCTACCTTTTAGAAAAATCGTATGATTTTCTTTTTCAGCCAAAGGCTTGGCTGTACGATAGGATAGAAGTTTTGGTGCAAAGGGCACACTGAAGAACTTCACAGGATGTTTTTCACCCTTCAAGTTTAAAAACATTTGGAAAAATACATCCTTTATTGAAATCTATAGGTTTGAACAGTTTTTCTGTAGGATAGTTACCTTCTGTCTGCCTCTCTCAGGAACATCTGCAGATCTGCATGGCAGATGCTGCAGATCACAGTCCTAAGTGGAAAAAAATGGGTCAGTTTAGAGGCAGGATGGGCCACCAGGATGCTACAGATGCTGAATAGCTGTGCTGACCCACAAGTAAGGATTGATACTGACTTGTATGCTCAGAAAAAAAGCAACTGCTCCCTGTTCCTATGATGTGATTGACCCAGACTCTACTCCATGGGTCCTGGACTCAACTTACAACACCAAGGCTGCTTGCACTGGTTCTAGGACAGGGTTTGGAAGCAGTGTGTCAGTACTGTCTCCAGAAGTCACATCTATTTAGGTACCCTTTAGAAATCCCCTTCTTCTTGGTGCAACGAAGTAGTGACAGCCGCTTACTTGGCCTCAGAGATAGAAAAGCCTGTGCAAGGCTTTGCTACTCCATAGATCAGGGTAACATAGCTCACTGTGTATCTAAGCCTCAGAAAATGTCTTTGATGTTGACAGAAACTTTTCTCGATTATTACCCTTTGAGGATGAATGAGGCAGCATGTGGCAAGATCTCAGAATGGGATTAGCTCAGGAATTTCACATGCGGGATTGCACAGTTAGCCTGAATATTGCCCCAAGACGCATTCCCCTTCACACACAGGCCTCTTCCTACAGTCTCCTTGGCTCTTCCAAGGAAATCAGTGTCAGCATAGCTTTAGATTTTGCTCTGCTCACGGCTTGCTTGTGCACATGCAGCTCGTGTTTCCTTGCCCCTGTCCTAGCACGCAGGGAAGGACAGGTGAGTCTCTCCGAAAGCACTGCAGTGCTGCTCAGGCTGGTGCAGCACCCAGCGCCTTGGGGTGCTGCTGCTGCTGCACTCTGCTAGGGAGACCCGATCAGTTCAGGCAGTACCTGTGATCCCGTGGGGATGCATTAACTCAGGAAAGTCTCTGCAGTACCTGGGGCTGTGCCAGAACAGGTGCTCAGACTCTGGTGCTGACCATTTGTGTTAGCATTTCAGTAAAGAAACACTCCTAATGTATCTGTCTGTGGTTCCTGGTCTGACAGTGTGATTGGCAACTCTCTGGCTCACCACATTGTGCCTTTGGCTAGTTATTCCCACTGATGTCTTTCTAAGACTGGCTTTCTCGTAATGGAAGTTCTCCATTTGACGACTCTTCATATAAATAAACCATAGTGCCTTTCGAAAGGTAAAGTAGCTCAAGACGACAAAAACTAGTACATTTGTGCTTGTAAGAGTAATAATATATCCTTTTTGCAGTTCTTATAAGAGATTCAGCTTCTCCATTCAGAGTCACTGCGTTAGCTCCCTTGCGGCCTGGGCGTGTTGTCTGAACTGAGGCTGGGAAGGAATCAAGAGCATTCAACCACAAGATAAACACCAGGAGTGAAACAGCCCAGATAGCAGAAGCAGACTACAGAGCAGTCGGAGTGCAGAGCTCAATTTTAAGCCTAACTTGAACACTGAATGAGGTGCTAATATCTCAGCTACTCAGTGTGGAGTCTCTTCTCAGTCTGCTGTTCACGTTCTGTGAACAGGGTATAATGGTATTTATAGAATACACAGTGAAAAACTGGCTTTGTGCAACTGTTGCAGGCAGTGTGGGGTGAAGGGAAGTGTCTGGGTTTGGTGATGAAAATAGAAATCTGTCTCTGGGGAGCTGATCAGATACTCTATGGCATGATACCATTATAGCTTGAAGAACCAATTTCAGAGCTGGCTTCTGTAATTGCTGATCGTTTAACCTGTCTCCATTCCCCCATAAGAGGAGGATGTATTGCCTTCATTTGTGTTGCCTTGTTCATCAGTAAATGTAAAGCAAATTGTAAAATCAGACCTGCTTGAACTAACATTTTTAGCTATTCATTCACTCATGCACAAACCAACCCCCTGATGCTGGTCCAACTTTTGCCTTGTACCAAAGAGAAAATAAGAACACTGAGTCAATTAATATTCTCTTTTCTTTTTGAAATGTCGGGGAAGCATTTGGATACCATGGGCAACAACATGGTGAAAAACTGGATTAGAAGGTGTTTAAGAAATTAAATTCAGTCCTGGAAGTAGCTTTGCTGTGTTTTACCAGAAGCTTCTGCTTTTTTCCATTGCTCCCAGTATGACATTTAGGATGGACTTCACCCATTCCCAGGAGTGCAGGAATAGTCCAACCCCCCTGCAGTGAGCAGGGACACTGCTAACTAGATCAGGTTGCTCAGAGCCCCATCCAACCTGGCCTTGAATGTTTCCAGGGATGGGGCCTCCACTACCTCTCTGGGCAACCTGTTCCAGTGTTTTACCACCCTCATTGTAAAAAATTTCTTCCTTACCTCTAGCCTGAACCTACCCTGTTCTAGTTTAAAACCATTTCCCCTTGTCCTAACACAGCTGGCCCTACTAAAAAGACGTTCCCCATCTTTCCTATAGGCCCCCTTTAGGTACTGGAAGGCCGCAATCAGGTCTCCCCGTAGCCTCCTTTTCTCCAGGCTGAGCCAGGTGGGACTAAAGGTTGGCTGAGTGCTGGGTCTGATGTACATTTGTGTTACACGAACAGTGATGGATCCCTCTGGTTGGTTTTTTTCCTGCTGGGCATGGGATGGGTTTTAATCTGGCTAAATCCTGTATCCCAGATCTGTTTGCCTTCTCTTGTAAGGACTTCTCTTTCTCTCTTTTGCAGGCATGGTTCAGAAACTTGACCAGAAGCTGCCTGTAGCCAACGAGTACCTGCTGCTTTCAGGTGGCGTGCGGGAAGGTGTGGTGGACATTGATCTTGATGAGCTGAATGTTTATGCACGAGGCACAGACTATGACATGGACTTCACCCTGCTTGTGCCTGCACTGAAGCTGCATGACCGCAACCAACCAGTCACGCTGGACATGCGCCACTCAGCTTTGTGCCACTCCTGGCTGAGCCTGCGTCTGTTTGATGAGGGAACTATCAGCAAATGGAAGGACTGCTGCACGATCGTGGACCATATCAATGGAGCTACCAATTATTTCTTCTCTCCAACAAAAGTTGCAGACTGGTTCTATGACTCCATTAGCATTGTCCTCTCTGAGATCCAGAAAAAGCCTCAGCGAGGGATGCCAAAGGTGGAGAAGGTAGAAAAGAATGGGACTATCATATCCATCATTTTGGGAGTGGGCAGCAGCCGCATGCTGTATGACATTGTCCCTGTGGTGTCCTTCAAAGGTTGGCCAGCTGTGGCCCAGAGCTGGCTGATGGAGAACCACTTCTGGGATGGGAAGATCACAGAGGAGGAAGTCATAAGTGGGTTTTACTTAGTGCCTGCATGTTCCTACAAGGGGAAGAAGGACAATGAATGGAGGCTGTCATTTGCCAGAAGTGAAGTGCAGCTGAAAAAGTGCATTTCCAGCAGCCTCATGCAAGCCTATCAGGCCTGCAAAGCTATCATCATCAAATTGCTGTCCCGCCCCAAAGCCATTAGTCCATATCACTTGCGGAGCATGATGCTGTGGGCTTGCGACAGGCTACCAGCCAACTACTTGGCCCAGGAGGACTACGCAGCCCATTTCCTCTTGGGTCTCATTGATGATCTCCAGCACTGCTTGGTCAACAAGATGTGCCCTAACTATTTCATCCCCCAGTGCAACATGCTGGAGCATCTCTCTGAAGAAACCGTCATGCTGCATGCGCGGAAGCTGTCCTCAGTCCGCTCAGACCCTGCCGAACACCTTCGAACTGCCATCGAACATGTCAAAGCAGCCAACCGGCTAACACTAGAGCTCCAACGGCGGGGCAGTACCACCAGCATCCCCTCCCCGCAGTCAGATGGAGGGGACACCAACCAGCCTGATGACCGATTAGCCAAAAAGTTGCAACAGCTAGTGACTGAGAACCCTGGGAAGTCCATCTCCGTCTTCATTAACCCCGATGATGTCACAAGGCCTCACTTCAGAATTGATGATAAATTTTTCTGAGCTTTTGTCAATGTTTCTTGGGATTTTTTTCTTTTGTTTCATTTTTAAAAACTCTTGCAGCGTGCTGGTTTTTTCATTTGGTTTCATTGATGACTTAGTCTCTTGTTTTTTACATATCCAGCGTAGATTGGATCTGTTGAGAACAATCTGAATAAATTATAACTCCTGGTTCTGCAGGACGGTGCAGATTTTGAAGCAGTGTATTAGTATTTCATATGCTGCTTTAATTTTTTTCACCCAGCCCCATTGTCTGTGAGTAGTTTCTAAAGGAGAACATGCACCGTAAACACACATGCCACAGTGTAATGTAGATTTTTTTTCAAGCTTCCATAATTTATGTACATTGTTGGGCCTGGGGAAGGGAGAACTTACCTTCTGTTGCTTCAGAAATTCGCTTCTTTTTCCATGAGCTTCCACCACCCTAAAGAAATGAGGAGAGACACTGGGTTGGAAAGCACTACCGGTAATTTGACGAGGCCAAATCTACTGGGTCATCTGTTCTTCACACTTCTTACACTAGGGGAGAAAGTTGACTTCAGATATGATGATGCCGCTTTTGGGGGAAAGAG